AAGGGTCACCCTTTGCATTTGGGATCCCCTGGCTCCTGTCCTTAGGCTACTTAATTGGAACCTAAAGTTTTATAGTTCCTATCCTTATTTAATTTGCCTATGCTTATGAGATTCATCCATGTGTACTTTAAATCCAGTCAGAAGCTTTTGGATAACATTCCTGTCACCAGCAGATATATCTTTCCAGGGTTATTGTTATTGTAGCTTGCATGGTACATTGCTGTTTCATGTTTTCAGGGTAAAATCACAACTTTAAGTACTTCACTTTGTTGAGATACGTAGTTATTGGTATGTGTTAAGAGAACACAAATTTGTAGATGTTGATGCATGGAAAAACTATTGATTTTGGCACCCAAGCATGCCAAAGATAGCTTTGAAATTTTTTGAGTATTAGCTGGCTTTGCACTTACTAGTCCCGTGACATTAGCAAGGGACATCAACATGTCTTCAAAAAGCTGAAATAAAATACCACTCATGGACCTGAAGCACCTAAGAAGTGTTTCTGAGTAGAATTGGTGTTGTTCGGAATTTCTAGAAATATCAGCAGAAGGACATTTACATTTCTAGACATCCTGGTATTTATGCTGTTATTCTTTGATTTAAAGTTTGAAAGCCACAACAATAGAACAAAGAAAGAGGAGATATCTCAGGGCAGAAATGTAACTTAGGGTCAAGCTTCTTCCATACTTACATGAAATGGTTTCATGAGCAGAGGACTGGTTGTGGGGCTGGAGACCCTGGGATATGCTCATTTATATATCAGTTTAACACAAAGCCCAGAGGGGAAGTAATGAAAACGTGGGCCTCATATAGAAATACAAAGGGTCTTAAGCCTTAAATGAAGACAAACATTCTCATTTGGCTGTAAATAAGGCCATAGGCTGAGTTTGAAATGTAATTTTAGTCGAGAGATGAGGCCAGCATAGCAATAGGTAGAGTGTCATTCTTCTCTTTCATTTGTGTTTGGGACCAAGTTAATGAATTCTGAAATTCTGCCCTTTAAAATATCCCTATTTAGAAATCAGACAATTGTGCCACTGTTTACCACATTGATTTTTGCCATCCCTTCACTTTTTCTCCTGAGTGCCATGTGTGTCATTGGTGTATGCCTCCAGGCTCCATGTATGAGGTTTGTCTGTATTATGGTGTTTGTTCTGTGTCCTTTATTTACATAGGAATCTTAATATTTCATTCACATTTTCACAATAAATTTCTCTTCTCACACTATTGTTTGCATTGGAAAATGATGACAAATTTAAAAGCAAAAGAGTACATCTGTGTTTACACTGTTGTGGAATCATCATTTGAACATACTTATTGTAGGTGTCTGTAAGACTTTAATTCCCCATTGTGTACTATCAATATCTGTTAGGTTTCTGTTTTTTTTAAAAAAGCACATTGACCCAAGAACCCCTATTTTTATGTGTCATTCACATGCCGGCAGCCTTTTTTCTCCATTGTGTAGAACTCTGATGATGATATGCACACACTTTAAGATGCAGTTATTGAACACATGAGATCCTATGATTTGTGGGATGAAAATGTATATGACCTTCTTTGTAAGCAAATATGGTAGATATTCATAACATTAGGAAAATGATTTAAGTGGCTGTGTGAAAGTCCCCAGGTTGTTAGTAGATTATGCTTTTACTGCACATTGTGGCATGTGCCACTCAATTGATATTTGGTAGTGGAACTGGTTATTATTCAAATTTTTGCTTCATATTGACACATTGTATGCATTTATATATAGGACATTATTATTAATATTCACTGTTAAAGGTGTTAGCAGTAAATTTATCTAGAACTCTGAAATTAAAGAATTTTTGATGATATCAATTATTCTCTTTGACATCCATTTATAAGATGCAATTCATTTAACACTCCCAAGTATATAGGGAAATAAAATAATTGATGAAATATATGCCACTTTGCATCTTGAAATCTGATTTTATAGTCACAGTGTTCAAAGCACCATTTAATCCAAGCAAAATAATTTTGACAGCATGTCACATTTGCCAGCAGTATCTGGATCTGAAATACTTTCCACAAAAATCACAGTATCCAACCCAATGGATACTGCTTCTCCAGTATTATAGAAAGACCAAAATAATACACTGTTCACCATTGCGAGATTAAAAACGGGTGGTATATATTTACAGAGGAAATCTTTGATAAAATATGAAGGATGTTTATAATTTAAAATACCATTACAGGGGAACTGTAATAGCCCTTAATTATTAATCATTAAGGCTCAATGGGTGATGAGAAAAATTCACTTTCTGCCCTGAGAGACATGGGTCTGTTTTGTGCACTGAACATTCATAACAGAACGCAGTGGGACCAAGTTCTATGAATTAGCAGCCTCATTCTATTTTCACCTGAAGGGTACAGGGGAAATAATTCTGCATGTTTGCTATAGATGCATGGGATGGCATGTTGAAGGGGTGAGACTAACCCCAGGAAGCAGAGTGAGCTGTGTGTGGCATCTAAGGTTTCGTACTTGGTTCACTGTTATTGTTTCTGTGGAAACAGGGTTGAGTAGGGCTTGAGGGGGTGATAAAAACTTGGCTGGGATGCAAAACATGGCAGCATATATGGAGAAGAATTCTACATCAGATCCATCACCTTTCCCAGGCCCAAGTGAAGGACAGGGTCTACCCTTTTTTATAAGTTATCTGTGCATAGATAAAAGAACATAACTGAATTCAAGAATGATTTTAAATTGTCAAGATGGAAGAAATATATAGAATGTGTTGCAAACCATGCTAATGTGCAAATATATGCCAACTTCTAAGTGCAAAAATACATTGTGATATAGCCACTTGAAGGGACACTACTCAGTTTTAAAAAGGATGAAGCTGTGGTTGTATGTGATGGCATGATGTGCTGTAAGAACATTAGACACCATGACTACATGCTCTGTAATACCATTTATATGAACTCAGGGAAATGGCAAAAATTTGGTGACAGGAATAATTTTTAATGTACACAAGCCTCTCTATTCTATATGTACTACATAAAATTAAAATGTGGTGACAGAAAGTGGACCAGTTGTTTCTGAGCCTCACATTTCACATTGGTGAGTCTTACTACATGCAAATAATACCCAAGAATGGATTTTAAGAAAACAGCATGGTAACATTGAGCAGTAAGTGGGAGGAGGGGACCTTGTAACTTATTAGTACTGGGAAGTGAACATAAAAATCACTGGAACAGTGTAGGTTACATCGAGAATCTGGGGGAAAAAAAGTGTCATATGTCTTATTTTGTTTGTCTCTTTTAAAAAGGGTTTCACAATGCAGAAGTATTTACTGGCTTCAAAAGCTTTGATCCACCTGCCTTGGACACTATATATGTATACTCTGTTTCCCTTTAAAATTATCAACTTAAGGAGGGCAGAAGATTAATTTGGCCATGCCCATAAGTTCTTTCAATTGGTATAACTGTTGAGTAAATGCAAAGCTGAGGCACAAGATATTTAATAACCACTGAGTGCCATTTTCAACGTGCATTTCAAGTGCTAGATTAGACAAGCAATTGAAGAATAGTAAATGTCAGAACCCAGAACTGTGGCTTACCTACCAGCAAGTACATAGGACCAGTTGACTGGCTCCAGCAATTTAAAATTGACCAATGTTTTGATTAGGATAATTAGTGATTTCTAATATGTAGCAAATTGAATACTAGGCATCATTTCTTAGACATATTCCTCACTCTTATGTGTTACATCATTTTCAAGCTATATCAAGCCACCTTTGTAGTGAGGTTTATGAATATGGGAAAAGAGTTTGTAGCTAAATGTAGTGGTGCACATCTATAGTCCTATCTTCAGGAAGCTTATCCAAAAAGATTATGAATTTGAGACAAGCCTGAGATACATTACATTCAAGGCCCACTTGGGTTAGTAAGACAAAAAGAAATAATAACAGTAAACAAGAAAAGAATTCCTGAGTAGGGGAATATTCTATAGACATTATGGATACATATATGTCTGCATGTGCATATGTATATAACATTGAAAAATTTAAATGACATATAATCATGTCAAAAATGTTTAGAGGTTCGTGTTAACTTTCCCCTTCCACATCCTATACCATGTAGCTATCTATACCTATTGGTTTCTTCATGCACACAGAATGATGCTAAGTAATTTTTATGACTCATAATAGTTAAACACCATCCCAGCTTTAAAGTTGGACACAAGTGACCAAAGATGCCATCCACGGATTACAATGCAGACCTAAATTTTGATCTGAGGCTAATTGATGGGATCTTGGTACATGGCCCCAAGGACAGTGCTTGGTAATGAGATATTATATTTAATAGAATTGGACTGGTGACATTGAGCTTGTTGTCATACACTATGTTCTGAACGGTGGTGGAGATAACTGAAATTTTGCCTAGACACTTTGACTCTACCAATGTCAGTCCATGTAAGATTGACATGTAGCTTGTAGGTGGTGGTCAAAAATGGACTGCCAAGTGGGCTAATGTGTAGATCATTGTGTCCACTGCTGCAAAACTAGATTTTCATGCTGTACTTTTAGGGTGTATATGATACAAAACAGAGACTAAATTTGGATAGAAGTACTTATTAATATTCATACTTGAGTGTGGTTTGAAGTTCAGGTTCGGACAATGTTATGAACACATTTCTGTGATAGACTGCCCACACTAATAAGAACTTGAGTTTTCATAAACTTTCAATTACACATGAATATTATCAAACTGTGGCAATTGTTTGTCCTAAATGAGAAAAGCACTTAGTGTACAGACACTAGTGGGAACATTTTTCATCTTCTTATCATACTATGTTTTGGGTTTACTGTTAACTATTTTCCAAGAACATAGAAATGCATTTTCTTAGACTAAAATCATTTTTATAGTTTAAGTAGTAGATAGGAGCTGTGCAGATTTAATGAAATAAGCAGCATTCAGTGAAACTGACAACCTTATTTCTATCTGTTGTGTGTGTGTGTGTTTTTCTCTCCTTACAGATGGACCCTATTCAGAAAGCTGTGATAAACCATACATTCGGGGTTCCTCTTCCTCACCGGAGAAAGCAAATCATCTCATGCAACATATGCCAATTGAGATTTAATTCAGATGTGAGTGTACCACTTAGTCACTACAAAATGCATTATATGGTTTTAGTTTTTATGTCACTTTTTTTCCAGCAACTGAGCATGCCCAAATCCAAAGATAGCATGCAAGTCCATGTGTTCTTTAATTTGGGAGGTTACCATATTATGTTTGATTAGTTACTATAGGAAAACTGCATGTGCAGCTAGATATATTTGAAGTTTAATGTTTTGGTTTTAGTATCTTGAGAATACTTAATGTATATCTCATATTTTGTATTTGGAGACTGTCAAATTAAGAGCCCATGAAGATTTTAATAGATTACATCTCTATAGTAAGACAGATCATCTCCCAAGACCAAGACTTTGGCTTCAAATCTTTTTGCTCACTATCAACAGGCTCACAGTTCCAAATTATGCTGTAAATTTTTCTATATGGGCCACAGAAAAGTAAGTGTGTGTGTGTGTGTGTGTGTGTGTGTGTGTGTGTGTGTGTGTCCATTATTCAGAGTGGCTTTTGCTTAGTTCCTGTTCTCCTTGAATTTAATTTTTACTTTGAAAATTAGCAGCTAAAGATGACAAGGCTCCCCTAAACCAAGGTGCCAGCTTTTCACATGAGATGAGGCCATTTTGGTATCTCTACCTTCCAAAAATTTCACTATTAATGTTTTCCATTCTACTAAAGAACAATTGTGTGTATTAGGAGTCAGAAGGATACTTCAAGATCATTGCACCTAGTATCATTGTACCTTTCACTCAATGCAAAAATTTCACTTGCCACATCAGGCAAAGAATTTGGATTAATCATTCCCAGTAATGAGACATTCAGCATTTCCAGGGGATTGTCCCAATTTGGGAGTGTGTTTCTATTCCCCTGATTGAAACACCCAATCATGGCTAGGAACTAGAAATGTTATCCAATAAACTTCAAGTGACCTTTATATCAAGTGACCTTTATTAACATTGACCTATAGAAGGTAATATAAGAGCTTTCACCATGTTTCCTCTCTCTAATACAATCTCATTTTCTTATTAAAATACCATAGCCATTTGTTTTGCTAATAATGTTTCTAGGTGACATAGGGTCCACATGTGTGTTTGTCAAGGACAGCTGGTAACTATTCTCACAGTTTTGCAGTATGGCATGTGGTTAAATGAATATGGACAAGCCTTTTTGCAGTATTTAGGCTTACAGGTCATCATTAACTACTGCAGGCTTGACCCACCACTAGACAGTGGGTGTACTAGTTGTCTATTTGTACCATGACTGGAAAGAACACAAATATGTCATCTCGTTGTTCTCGGGGCAAGAAGTATGGTATAGGCCTCCCTGGATATTATCAGGTAATTGAGAGGATTTTTGTTGCTACAAGAGACTCTGAAGAAGGACATGGTCCTTCTGGTTTCCAGCTCATATAGGTTTGTGAGCCTCTTTACTTCTCTGGATAATAGAAGGGTGTTCAGGTCTTTACTCCATTGCTTTGACTCTTCTACCTGACTCTTTCATATCAACAGATCATACTGGGCCAACCTCATAATTCAGCATAATTACCTCACTTTAATTCAACTGACCAGCAACTTTAATTGAATCTGCTACCCTAACCCCATTTTTGTGTCATAACCACATGTCTAGTTTCAAGGGATAAGATTTTAGCCATCTATAGGAGGTCGCTGTCCACCATGGATACTTTCTGAGAAGTCTGACTATAGTTCCAACTGCAAATCATGAACAGTAACTTTATAGCCATGACATTATCAAACACAGAAAAAATGAACTGTGTATTTTATAATCTCCTATACATTCATTGCTCTTATATTTTCTTTATATTTAATGTTTAATATAAACTCAACAAATATGATTAATAGTTAAATGATTGTTACTATATTTGTTTAGTTATTTGCACATGTATGTGCACAAGAATGTGTTAGTCACAACTTGTGTGTGAAGGTCAGAATCAATATTTCCTTTCAACATGTGTGTCCCAGGGAACCAATTTATGCCCTCAGGCTTAGTGGCAAGCACCCTTACCCTCTAAACCATCTTGCCACCATAGAGTTAATTTTTTAAACAACAGCTCTCTTTAGCTTCTAAACATAAACATATAATGTAGATTTAGAAGAAAGGAAAAATTTCAACACATTTTTCTAACAAAATATAATTATTGCAGATTTAAAATTAACAATTGACCCTCCCTTGGAGATCTAGAATTACCCTTGAACCTTAGTGCTTCTTACTGAGTTGTGTTTACTGACCTGTAATATTTTAAAATCCTAATTTTATTAACTGTTTAGGTGCTTAATAACAATATTAGTTAGATTTTTCAAGTTCTAACATTACAATAATGCAATCCCTGTATACAGAAAACTTATAAAATCAACATACTTGTATGTGATATCATAGTATTTTAATTCCATGGAAACCCTTCCTAATCCCCAAACCACTGTCCATTTGTTCTTTCCAGGTAATCTGGATTTTATTTTCTTGTTTCTGTTTTTAAGATTGGAACGTTCTGAAGCAACATTGTAATTCACTTGTATGCATGATTGAATTTTCTGTCACTAGGAAAGTGGTTTTGCCACAGGAATCTCTTTACATTTCAAAGCATCTCCTCTTTCCAGTGAAAATAATAGCTTACAGTTCTTTTCATCTCTGGATCATGAAAATTCAATTTACTCTCACTCTCTGAGTTTTTATTTATTTTTTAACCCTTCATATTAAAAACTATTTAGTTTGATGTTACACATACCTGTTTCCTATATGCTACAATTTTCCCACAGGGCCATGCAGATAACTTTTAAACAGTTACAAACTATATTGAATTCAGTTAAGTCAGGTTGTCTTTTCTTGATACAAATGTCTCACTAAAAGATTTTAATAATCATGTAAATATACTGGGGTTATACAAAACATCCAATTAAAGGGTGAAAGGATGTAATGTGTTCATTTATTTTATCATCATCTTGAAAATGTTGCCAGAGGAAGTTAGTATTTATGCTTTTGAAGACAATTTAAAACTGGGACAACAGAGATATAAGATGACTGAGTGAAAGAAAGAACAAATATTTAATTATTGTATGTGAAACATGAAATAAGATCTCAAGTTACAAACAAAGGAATATAAAAGGGTTTTGTAGTCAAACCCATAAAATAGAGTTTTGTTGTATGCTAGAGGCAGAAGAAACTTCTAATTTCTTATGCCAGGCTGAGATTTGTAAGTGGTCAGGTGGCCAATAGTTCTGTTGCAGTGATTAAATGTCTGCACAAAAAGCAATTTAGGGGAGAAGTGGTTTTACCTCACAATTCCAGGTTATATTCCATTAATATTGGGAAGTCACAGCAGCAAGAACCTGACACATCACATCCTTAGGCAAGAGCAGAGACAGGGACATACAGTCATGTCACTTGCTTGCTAGTTCTATTACACTGGATGCTGCAGAGTAACATGGATAGAGCTCTGTGAACTTCTTAAACCACACTGTCCTGAGAAGATCTTCTTTAATTTCAATGGATTAAAGGTAGGGCTCAAAGCTGGTATGGAGAAAATGTAGGCCTTATGCACAAAGACTCCTGGTTCTTCTTACTCCATCCCACTCACAATTCAAGAGTAGACACACTGACATTAAATACAAGTTAAATTCAAGGGCCTGAGTTATAATGAGGTAAGATTCTTGCTATAACTCAGGACTATCAACCATTAATTACTACTAGGATTTTACTTGGTGAAGCAACAGAGGGAACATTACAATATTAGAAGATACCATGGCTCAGAGCAACTGAAACTTTAAAGAAAGATGTTTGAGATAGTCACCAGCATCACTAATAGATTCGCCAATGCTATTGTAAAGTAGAAGGTATTAATAATTAAAAATACTATTTTTTATTATTCATGTCCTATATTTTAATGTGGAGATATAGCAAAATTATATAGTTTAGAGTTTTCATAATGCTCATAAAGCCAGTGATTTTTTCTTTCCAAGTAATCAAATCACTCAGTTACCTGTTCTTCACATAATGTGTTAAAAATCCTTTTACTATTCAAATCAACATTATTGATGATGGACCCTTCCCAGCAGACCAGGCTATCCAGATTCTGCCAGCATCCTAGTCCAGCCTTCACCCACTGGAAGAGGTAAGCATGGGCCTGTTTCTGGTCTGCCTCCATTACTCTGCTCAGAGCCTGCTGAGGCTTGTGGACTGTGAATGGGGGAAACTACTGTCCCTATAGAACAGCCTATCCAGAGTCTACCAACATCTCAGTGGTAGTCCCGCCTCCACCCATAGGCAGGGGAGAGCCATCCAAGTATTGTACCCGCTTGCACAAACCAGAAGAGTACCTTGGACCAGTACCTACCAGGAGAGGGAGAGACCCAACAGGTACCCACTGGAAGAAGGGATGGGAAGATGACACTATAAGAACAAGGTCAACAACAGAAAGATCAGCTTGATGAGACCAGAGTCTAAGGACTCCACACCAGCAAGACCTGAACATCCCAACACAGATGAAGTAGAAAAGAATGACCCTAAAAGTACTTTATGAGGATGAGAGAGACCCTCAAAGAGATAATGAGAAAATCCCTTAAAATATGAAAGAAAAAACAAACAAAATTTCAAGAAATGGAGGAAAAGACTAACGGAAAATTGCAAGAAATAAACAAATCTCTTTAAAAAAGTAAGGAAAGCCAAGAAAAAACAACCAAACAAATGAAGGAAACAATTCAAGCAGTGTAAGGCTTGAAGGTTGAAATAGAGAGATCTCAGTGCATTCAAGCCAATTTGAACAACATAGTGAATATGATAGTAAGACTTTCCTCAGACACACACACACACACACACACACACACACACACACACACACTGAGTAATTGCTGGAAATAGGAAAGCTGGGTAAACAATCAGGAACTACAGATATAAGCATAGCCAAAAGAGCACAAGAGATGGAAGAGAGACTCTCTGGCATTGATGATACACTGGGAGAAATAGATCCATTGACAGAAAAAATCTTAAGTCTAACAAATCCCTAACAGGA